CTCAAGAAACAAGAAGAGGAGAAAGCTAAACCTACAGCAAACTAAAATGAAGAAATAATAAAGAGCAAAGGTCAGTGGAATTGGAAACAGAAAAATAACAGAAAAATCAGTGAAACAAAAACTTGATTCTTTGAAAAAAACAATGAAATTGATGAAATTCTAGCAAGACCACAATAAGGAAAATAGAGAATACACAAATTACTAATATCAAGAATGAGGCAGGAGATAACACCACAGTGCCTACAGACATCAAAAGGATTATATGGGAATACTGTAAACAACTCTACACATAAATTTGACAACTTAAACAAAATGGATCAATTCTCAAAATTACAAACTACCAAAACACACCTGATATGAAATAGATAATTTGAATAGCCCTGTAAATATTAATAAAATTTAATTTAAAATTTCCCAAAAAAGAAATCTGACTGAATTAGTTTCACTAGAGAATTCTACCATATTTTTAACAAATACTTAACTGTCAAATCACTATGTTGTATACTTGAAACTAATAGAACATTGTATGTCAATTATATTTCAATAATAAAATTTTATATTATTTTTTAATTTTTATTTATTTTTGAGAGAGAGAGACAGACAGACAGACAGAGCATGAGCATGGGAAGGGCAGAGAGAGGGAAACAGAATCTGAAGCAAGCTCCAGGCTGTGAGCTGTCAGTGCAGAGCCCAACGACAGGCTTGAACTCATGAACTGTGAGATCATGACCTGAGCCGAAGTCAGACTCTCAACCTATTGAGCCACCCAGGCACCCCTAATTTTGTTAATGTAATTTCTACAGCCAACATGGGGCTTGAACTCATGACCCCAATATCGAGAGTTGGATGCTGTACCAACTGAGCCATCCAGGCACCCCTCGATAATTAATTTTTTTAAAAAAGAGTAGATAGAGACTGTCTCATAAATCTTTTTATTTCCAGCAGTGCTTTGCACAATCAGGCACTTATTGTGGACAATAAATATTTAAATTAAATTAAAAAGAATTACCATCAATTCTACACCATCTTTTTCAGAAAATAGGAGAGAACACTTCCCAAATCATTCTACAAAGCCAGTATTACCATGATACTACAATCAGATAAAGACAATACATAAAAATAATACTTCACATCAATATCCTTTGTCAATATAGATGTAAAAGTTCTTAACAAGGTATTAGTCAATAGAATTCAGCAATATATAAAAAGAATTACACACCATAGTAATTTGGTAGGGTATGTTCTATTTTGCAAAACTAGTTCAATATTTGAAAAATCAGTCTATGTAATCCACCATACAAACAGGATAAAGAAGAAAAATAATATGGTCATCTCAATGGATGCAGAAAAATATTTAACAAAATTCAACAACCATTCATGAAAAAAAAACTCCCCAAAAAACTAGGAGTAGAGGTGAATGCCTATAACTTGATAAAAAAAATCTACAAAAACCCTTCAGCCAACATTACACTTAATGGTGAAAGACTAAATGTTTTTCTCCTAAAATTAGGAGCAAGTCTAGTTATGCCCTACTGCAGCTCTTCAGCATAGTACTGGAAGTTCTAGCCAGTACAAGAAGGCAAGAAAACGAAATAGAAGGCATATAGATCAGAAAGGAAAAAATAAAACTGTCCCTAATTGTAGATGACATAGCTTATGTAGAAAATCCCAATTGACAACAAAACTGCTAGAACTAATGAGTGAATTCATCAAGGTTGTAGGATATACAATAAACATACTAAAATGAATTCTATTTCTATACACTAACAATGAATATGGGGCACTGAAATAAATACAATACCATTTATAACTCCTCCAACAAATGGAGTACTTAGGTATAAATTTAACAAAAGATGTTCAAGATCTGTATGCTGAAAATTATAAAATGCTGATGAACGAAATTGGTGAAGACCTACATAAATGGAGAGACATAGATCTCCTTGAATTGGAGATTCAACATAGTAAATATCAACATCAACATCAACATAGTAAAATGTCAATTCTCTCCAAATTGATATACAGGTTTAACACAATTCCTATCCAAATCCCAGCAGGATTCTCTGTAGATATATAGAAGATTATTTTTTTAAGTTTATTTATTTTGAGAGAGGGACAGTGCAAGCAGGGGAGAGGCAGACAGAGGGAGAGAGAGAGAATCCCAAGCAGGCTCAGCACTATCCACACAGAGCCCAGTGTGGGGCTCAAACCTACAAACTGTGAGATCATGACCTGAGCCGACATCAAGAGTTGGATGCTTAACATTTATATGGAAAGACTTAGGAATTAGAATATCTAAAACATTTTTTGAAAAGAAATAAGTTGGGAGGAATCACTCTACCTTGATTACAAAACTTACCATGTAGCTACAATAATTAAGACTGTGTGGTGTTGGTAGTGGTATAGACACATAGATTAGTGGAACAGAATAGGGAACCCAGAAATAGTCCCATACAAGTACAGCCAACTGATTTTTTACAAAGCTGCAGAAGTACTTCATTAGAGGAAGGATAGTCTTTTTAACAAATGGTACTAGATCAATTGGACATCAGTAGGTGAACAAATACCACATATCTAGACTACTATCTAAAATATACAAAGAACTCTCAAAACTGAGCATTATGAAACTGCCCAATTGAGCATTATGAAAATTGTCCAATTAGAAGATCAGCAAAAGAATGCTGACATTTCACTGAAGAAGATATACATGGCAAATAAAGACATGAAAGGATGTTCAACATCATTAGCCATTAAAGAATTACAAATTAAGGGGGTGCCTGGGTGGCTCCGTGGTTTAAGCATCTGACTTTGGCTCAGGTTATGATCTCACAGCTTGTGGGTTCAAGTCCCACGTTGGGATCTATGCTACTGACAGCTCAGAGCCTGGAGCCTGCTTCGGATTCTGCATCTCCCTCTCTCTCTTTCTGTCTGCCCTTCCCCCACTCACGTTCTGTCTCTGTCTCTGTCTCTGTCTCTCTCAAAAATAAATAAACACTAATAAAAATTTTTAAAAAAGAATTGCAAATTAAAGCCACAATTATATATAACTACATACTTATCACAATGGCTAAAATTAATAATTTTATTCATTTGGATTGGATGTGGAGAAACTGGATCACCCATAAACTGTTGGTAGGAATATAAGATGGTACCACCACTCTAGAAAGTAATTTGGCCATTTCCTTTCAAAACTTAAAATAGACTTACAATGCAACCTAGCACTTATACTTTTGGGCATTTATCTCAGAGAAAGGAAGATTTATTTTCATGCAGGAACTTATACACAAATATTCATAGCAGCTTCATTCATAATAGCCACAAACTGGAAGAACCCAGATGTCCTTCAAAAGGTGAATGGTGAAACTGTGGTACATCCATACCATGAAATACTACTTGGTAAAAAAACAAAAAACAAAAAAACGTATTGATACATGCAACAACATGGATGGATCCCAAAAGCATTATGCCAAGTGCAAATGCCAATCTCAAAAGGTTGCATACTATAGGAGTCCATTTATTTAACATTCTCAAATTGACAAAATTGTAGGGATGGAGAACAGATTAGTAGTTGCCAGGGATTAGAGATGGTGCTGGAGGGTGTTGGGTGTGACCATAAAAGGGATAGCATAAGGGAGATCTTTGTGGTAATTGAATAGTTCTGTATCTTAACCTACTGAGCCACTCAGGCGCCCTGAATACTTCTGCATCTTGATTGCAGTGGTGGTTGCACAAAACTACATGTGACCTAGAACTATCCACACAATTATACCAGTGTCAGCTTCTTAGCTTTGATATTATAATTGTTTTAGATACAATCTTTGGGGGAAACTGGGTAAAGGGTACATAGGACCTCTCTCTACTATCTTTGCAACTCCCTGTGAATCTATATTTCAAATTAAAAAGTTTTTTAAGAAGAGCACTCTCATGGTGGTGGAGCATGCGTATGAGGTAGACTAGACAGAATGAAGGCAGGGACAAGTCTCCAGAATTGTTGTCAGGTGAAAGATGATGAGATCTGAACCTCTGTACTATTTGTTGTGATGAAGACAAGGGGACAGATAAAAAAGGATGATAAGGTAATAGAATCAGCAGGACCTTGGCAATATCCAGATGTGAAGCAGGTAAAGGATAGTGTGGACTCTGGGATGACTTCCAGGTTTCTAGCTTGGGTAATTGAGTAAATGCTGGATGTCTTCAGTAAAACAGGCCATAGCTTAAGAGCCTGAAGTATACCAGAAGTAGACAGAAGCCATGTTTTCCTTGTCTGTTAAACCTTCAAAAATCTAAAAGATATTTTTTTGAGAATTTTTTTGAAATTCTTTAAAGTCCTTTAGAGTATCCCACAATCTGTTATGAAGCCAGATATTTATGTAATTCCTCCTTGGACTTCTTTCCTTGCCTAGCCTAGTACATTTACTTAAATGGGTTTCAACATAATTAACTGTGTGACTTTGAGCCTTTATTTTTTCTTTTTTTTTTTTTTTTTTAATTTTTTTTTTTCAACGTTTATTTATTTTTGGGACAGAGAGAGACAGAGCATGAACGGGGGAGGGGCAGAGAGAGGGAGACACAGAATCGGAAACAGGCTCCGGGTTCTGAGCCATCAGCCCAGAGCCTGACGCGGGGCTTGAACTCACGGACCGCGAGATCGTGACCTGGCTGAAGTCGGACGCTTAACCGACTGCACCACCCAGGCGTCCCGAGCCTTTATTTTTTCAATGAAAAAAGAGCACTGTGTTTTATGGTAATGTAATTACAATACTTCTCTCTCGGGATTAGAGTTCTGAGTTTTGAGAAGTAAATGACATTTACATTCATATGTAAAGTACCTAACACATATCAAACATCTATTAAGTGTTGTTCCTACTGCTAACAATAAAAATTCTAATGACAAAAAATAAAAAGATGTTGAAATGGGACAGATCCTGTCACTTGCGGCCAGAAATTTTACAGAAATGCTCAGGAATTTTCTAGAGCCTGTTTTTCCTCAATTTGTTTTCTAGTTCCTTCAGTGATCCTCAAAGAGTGGTCTGCCTATAAAGGGAAGTCACCTCAAACCCCCGAGCTGGTGTCTGCACTGACGTTTCGGGAATGGACTTGCCCAAATCTCAAGAAGCTCTGGCTCGGCAAAGCAGTGGAGGACAAGAACAGAAGGATGCGGGCCTTCCTGGCCTGTATGAAGTCAGATACCCCCAGTATGCTCAATCCAGCTAATGTCCCAACCCATCTGCTGCTCATGTGCTGCGTACTCCGGTAAGCCATGGGACAGGGAAGTGACCGGTTTAGTTCTCTTTTACTTTTGTCACATTTTCTTTAAGCATGTGTTTTTATGGTGTTTGGGGATGGGGAGGTTATCGTTTGAAGTTCAGCTTAGAATTCAGAAACGCTGAAATTGATTGCCATGATAGTTTCTTCAGTTCATGATCCTCTGTCATCATCAGTTCATTCATGACCTGCATGAACTTTTATATTTGGTTTTATATTTGGCTTTTGTCTCCTTCAGTCTTTATTCATGATCTTATTCACTTCTCTTCCCACATTCACCCACTCTTGGGTATTTGGTGTGTGTCCTTCCATGCCATTTGCCATGTATTTATTTAGACATATGTGTATCCATGCATAGTCTATAGTGTTGTTTGTATATGTAGATTTTTTCTTTTTGTTAAAAGTTTATTTTTTATTTTTATTTATTTTGAGAGAGAGAGAGAGAGAGCAAGCAGGGGAGGGGCAGAGAGAGAGGGAGACAGAATCCCAGGGAGGTTCCGTGTTGTCAGTGCAAAGCCCGATGCGGTGCTCGAACTCACAAACCAGGAGATCATAACCTGAGCTGAAATCAAAAGTTGGGCACTTAACCGACTGAGCCACCCAGGTGCCCCGATTTTTTTTCCTTTTTTTTCTACTCAGTGTTATTTTTGATATCCATCCATACTCCTACATGGTTCATTCCTCATAACTGCTGGATTACGTTCCTTCATATAGTAATGTCACAGTATTTTATTTATTGATTTCTAGTTCTTGGGTATTATAAACAGTGCTACAGGGAATCTCTTCATAGAAGTCTTTGTTTCTTTATGTTCCTGTACCAGTTTATCTGAAGTATATACTCAGGAGTAGAATTCCTGGATCCTATAAAATATGCATATAGGTTTTTCACCCAATATTGCCATGTTGCTCTAGATCGTATTCATACTAATCTAGTCCTGTGAACAACACATAAGGGCTTCTATTCTTCATAGTATTGCCAGTACTGGTATCATATAACTTCTTAACTTTTGCTAGTCCAGTGGGCTTCAAGTAGTCTCTTTGATTTTAATTTGCATTTATTTGACTACAGATGAGGTGAGCTTCTATTTTATACAGATTAACTACTTGTTTTCTCATTCTCTGAAGTGCCTATTTATTTACCTTGCAAATTTTCTTTTAGGTTACTTGTCTTTTTCTTGCCAATTACAGAAGTTTCTTGTCAAATGTGTGTGTGTATACATATACATATATAGCAAATATCATTTCTATATCTGTGTGTATATCAAATATATTTTCCAGTCACAGTTTTTCAAAACTATATACAATGTCTTTGTTGAACAAAAGTATTTCCTTTTCACCAATATTTTTATTGCTATAACTTCACACACACAGAACAGTTGGAAGAATAGTATGATGAACACTCATAAGCCCACCACTCAGATTCTATAATTAATATTTTACTAAACTTGCTTTATCCTATATAACTGGCCATCTGTCCTTCTCTAGTCATCCATTTATCCAGCGTTTTCAGTGCATTTTCAAGTAAATTGCAGATATCATGTACTTCATCCCTCACCAAGAAATATTTAATTTTGGTTTTGTCAGACACTTTTCAAATTGTACCCTTGTGGTGTATGCTTTTGGGATCTTATTTAATAAATTCTTCCCTACCCCTGGGTCATAAAGATAGTTTTCTACATTTTTTAATGTTTGTTTATTTTTGAAAGAGACACAGAGTGTGAGTGGGGGAGGGTCAGAGAGAGAGGGAGACACAGAATCTGAAGGCAGGCTCCAGGCTCTGAGCTGTCAGCACAGAGCCCAATGCAAAACTCAAACTCACGAACAGTGAGATCAGACCTGAGCTGAAGTCAGATGGTTAACCAACTGAGCCACCCAGGCACCCCAATACTTTTCTACATTTTTAATAGTTTTATAACGTTGCCTTCCATGTCAGGTCTTTAATTATAGTAGGTATCTATTCTATATATGCTGTAGGCAAGGATCTGATTTTATTTTCTTTACATAATGAGCTAGTTTTCCCAACTCCATTTATTAAATGATCTTTTCTTTCCCCACTGATGTATATTACCACCTTTCTTGTGTACCATGTTTCTATATATGCATTAGTCCATTCCTGAACTCATTTTTTTCCATTGTCTGTTTGAACTCTGGCCAGGATCACATTGTTTCAATTATGATAGGTTTTTAATTTGCCTTAATATCAGATAGGACAAATCTCTACTCTGTGCTTTCTTGTTTCAGACATGTACTAATTATTTCTGAATCACGTGATCTTTATTCTAATACATGTAATTTAGAATTAGTCCAGTTTCCACACTATCTGGTTGGGTTTTTTGGTGTATATTTTTGTCAATAAATTCAATTTATAGATTAATTTGGGGACAGTTGACATCTTTATCATGTTAAGGGTTCCCATCCAAAGATCATAGTTTACCCATCCCTTTATTTAGGTCTCTTCCTTTATGTCTTAGTAGAGTTAATTTGTTTCCATAGAGGTCTTCTGTGTTTTAAAGTTCTGTACTTGATATATATTGTTGTGATTATGGATGACAATTCTGTTTTCAGTTACCCTTTCTGATTGTTTATTTGCTGATATATAGGAAGTAAATTTATGTACAGAGAAGTCAGTCTCTACAAGGCATCAGAGGATTATAGAGCATTGAGCTTTGAAATTGGACAGACTTTAGTTTGAATTCTGGCTCTGCAGCTTTTCAGTTTGGATAAGTCACTTTAACCTTTAGAACATCCATTCCCTCAACATAAATGGGTATAATAATCCTTATTTCTCAAAGCTGTTTGAGGATTGAGGTAATAAATGTGGAGGCCCTATCACATAATAGATGCTTCATATTTGTTAATTTTCTAACTGCCTTGAGATTAAAATTGGTGATGTAAGTCTTACCAATAGGAATAATGACAGGATTCATTCCTCCTAACTTCTAAAATGTTCTTGGGCCACAGCCCTGCATTGTCCATATTAACTCTGGAATTACATGTTTTGTTTACTTTTATTCTCAGAAGTACAGTACTAGCTCATTTTTCCATTTATTTGATTCTCTAGGTTTTTTTTGGAACACCTCCAGGGACATGAAAATAACAATGGCTTATGAATAGCTATAATAGCTATCATAAGACAAGGCTGTAATGGTCTAAAAGGTTCCATATGCTTTCCCTGAAGAGAACCCCCTAGCTTCCTGCTCAACCTATTTATTCTTAATATATACACATTTCTGACAATTTGGCTATCTGATTTCCTAGTGTACAGCAGATCAGAAGTGGCAAATTATAAGGGACGTGAGACAAGGAGTAGGACCTATTCTTAGAACCAGCCTCAATGACAGTAATGAAAAGTAATAGCTTAAAAGCTGCCTAAAAGCAGGGGAAAAGATATAAAGATTACTTTTAAAAAGACCTAAGAACCCATTTAGTGTAGGGGGAAACTGCCCTGTATAAATCAGTAACCCATATAAGATCATTAGTAAAGCACAAGGCAATAATCAGTGTTCATAAAATCATCAAGAACAGGTTCTATAATATTACATGTTATGTACCTGGCAGTGTGCTAAGTCAGCCCTTTCTGTTCAGTGCTACTAATCTTCATAATAGTGCTAAAAACTAAATATTATTTACCTCCATTTATAGTTGAGGGAACAAAGGCTCAAAGAGAAGTGACTTGTGCAAAGGTTACATAGCTAGTAATGGGTAGTGCAAGAGTTGGAACCCAAGTCTCTCCAACTCCCGATTCCTATGCTCTTTAAAAGACAAAATGGCAGGAAAATAGTCTTAAAGATTAACATAAAATCTAAACTTCTCAGTTTAGCTGAGAAATAGAACAGAAATAGAACCTGAAATTTGACAAGGTCATCCTTCTAGACCTTGTGTAACGTTGAGGAATCTTTTCTGAGAAATAATTTAATTCTATTAGGAAGCAGTGGGTTTGTTATCAGCTCTAATAGGGCATTGGAGTTAACCAAGTGCCATCCTGATATGTAAAGAGTAAAGACAGATAAGAACTTGTTTTTGTTCGCTTGACAGAATAATTCCGAAGTTTATTCGGAAAAGCAAATGAATAAGAATAGCTTGGGATTGAAAAACAAGAGCAATCTTGGCTCAAACAAAGAAAAATGTTTTATAAACTTACACTAAAATGAATTGTTACTGGCATAAAAATTGACAGGTTATTGTTTTAGAGCAGATAATACTGATTAAGATCCTAGACACGTGATAACTTAACATGATAACTTAAAATATGGTAAAGGAAGCTTCACAAATCAATGAGGAATAGATGAAGTTTTAAGTAATTGTTGAGAAAATTGTATTGGTATTTGGAGAGAAAACATCAAGTTAGGGCCTCGCCTCTACTAAATTCCAGATGGATTTATTATAGTGATAAATGTAAAGGAAAAAAGATAAAACGTAGAATAAAAACTAAGCAATGATTTAACTGATCTTGAGACAAGAAAGGAATTTTTTTAATGAAAAATAAATAAAGAAGCCTCAAGTCCAGGGCAGTATCAAAAACAATAGCAATATCAGGGAAGGCCAGCACCTCTGTTTCCAGTGACTGCCATACACCATGCTAAAAATTTGGGAGATGTGGGCAACAAGACAATCATAAAGGGCTTTGATAAACTGCTTTATATTCCTGGAGATCTAAGATGTACATGCATAGGGCTATATACACACTCAAAAGAAACTGGGAGAAAGTCCCAATTATATATGCCTCCTAGGCTGAACATGAGACTTGCACAAGGTAAAAATCAAAGCACAACTTATAACTGCCTAAAATTTTAATGCATGCCGCAATCTACACTTAGATCCCTTTGGCAAAAATGGAAGCTTTATTGGCTCAAGGTGTTTCTGCACAACCTTTGACTAATCGTTGGCTGATCAATAAGCTATGCTGATCCAAGAGAGATGCCTAGGAAATTAGGCTTAAAAATGAAATGAGTTAAAAATAAAAACAAAAATCTAAGCAGGGATATCAA